AGTACCTACTACATAGTATATTATATATTTAATATGTAATCGAGCCCATTGTCAAACGATTTAGGTGCGTAGCTCATAAATGTAGATAATAAAAGCAATAGCTGTGTATGTCAACTATTAGCAATTATTAAATTACTCATACACAACTGTTCATTTTGCATTTTTGCCCCATGTGCCATAATAAACCAGGTTACTCTACGCCTGTATATAGCGGTAGGTACCTACTCGACGGTGGCGCCGCGGACGGTCGGCTTATAGAGCGACGCCGCTCCTCGCCACGGGACTCGTCTATACGAAAAAGTAGGGCCGCTCGCCGTCTATAAATTTAGAGGGGAACGCGAACAACATCCAAACGGGGAGGGTAATACCGCTGAAACGGGCCGAAACTCGAATTTTAGAAAAAAAAACGGCAAATAGAGCAGCCACATAGTCGTACTATTTAACTGCCAGAATATTTAAATCAGTTCTATTAGATCTATTAGTTTATTAAAAATCGTATAAAACAGTATTTATAATCTGTAGCAGTATTTTAACTCAACCAAATCGGAATCACCTAAAAACTGTAATATATCAAGTAGGTACTACATGCGGGTTAGTTATATTGTATTTTTACTATTGTCTATTCAAGTATAAAAGAAACATATAGGCAGTGTTCGGACTTATCTAGATGAATATCTAGATATTTTTTGCTCATCTTTTATCTTATCTAGATAAATAGTTACAAGGTATCTAAACGGTCATCTTAGATATTTTTTTACTAATCTAAATGAATTAATCTAGATAGATTTTCTATTGATAAAAATCGCGAAATTAAACAAACGCATTTTTAATTTTTATTAATTTTAACGGTCTATTTGTTATTTCATTAACAAATAATAATAATTTTTACATAATTATAATAAAAAATACATGAAACATTTAATCTGGTTGTGCTATATCATACTATAATTATTATAGTTATTTAATTATGGTATAATATAATTTAGCTAGGTATTAGCTATAATGCTGTAGACTATATGGCAACAGTAAATAGAATAATAAAATAAAAACTATATTGTTTGGTCAGATTATTTTAAATCCATTAAAAAAAAAAATTGTATCTTTTTTTATATCTAGATAAAAAAGTATTTATCTTTATCTTTATCTAGATAAATATGAGTTAAGTTATCTTTTATCTCTATCTAGATACATTTGAGTTGCATTATCTTTATCTTTATCTAGATACAAAAATACTTATCTAAACCGAACACTGCATATAGGTGCGTCCAAATAGTATAGCATACTATTATAATATAGTCAAATCATTATACGATTTAACTGCCAGAATCTCATTAAATTTCATTACAATTTAATATATCATGTCAAAGGGCGTTATACCGGGCGATCCGACAGCATCGGCAAGCGGACGACCGGCTCCGCCGCCCACGGACGTATAATACGCGAGATTCGTGAAAAAAATCGAACCTCGAGACGCACGCCTGTATATAGCGGTACCTACTCGACGGTGGCGCCGCGGACGGTCGGCTTATAGAGCGACGCCGCTCCTCCACGGGACTCGTCTATACGAAAAAGTAGGGCCGCGCGCCGTCTATAAATTTAGCAGGGAAAGCGAACAACATCCAAACGGGGAGGGTAATACCGCTGAAACGGGCCGAAACTCGAATTTTAGAAAAAAAAACGGCAAATAGAGCAGCCACATAGTCGTACTATTTAACTGCCAGGATATTTAAATCAGTTCTATATTAGATCTATTAGTTTATTAAAAATCGTATTAAACAGTATTTATAATCTGTAGCAGTATTTTAACTCAACCAAATAGGAATCACCTAAAAACTGTAATATATCAAGTAGGTATACTACATGCGGGTTAGTTATATTGTATTTTTACTATTGTCTATTCAAGTATAAAAGAAACATATAGGTGCGTCCAAATAGTATAGCATACTATTATAATATAGTCAAATCATTATACGATTTAACTGCCAGAATCTCATTAAATTTCATTACAATTTAATATATCATGTCAAAGGGCGTTATACCGGGCGATCCGACAGCATCGGCAAGCGGACGACCGGCTCCGCCGCCATCGGACGTATAATACGCGAGATTCGTGAAAAAAATCGAACCTCGAGACGCACGCCTGTATATAGCGGTACCTACTCGACGGTGGCGCCGCGGACGGTCGGCTTATAGAGCGACGCCGCTCCTCCACGGGACTCGTCTACGAAAAAGTAGGGCCGCGCGCCGGCTACAAATTTAGCGGGGAACGCGAACTAAATCCAAACGGGGAGGGTAATACCACTAGAACGGGCTGACACTCGAATTTTCGAAAAAAACGGCAAAAAACGCGCTCTACGGCGGACCTCAGTTCGCACGCGATATCCGCCGGGCAAAAAAGTACGGTGCACTCGTAATAGTAAATTTAGCGGGGAATGCGAATAAGGTCCAAACCTAACGGACCCACGGGGGGGGGGGGAAACTCGGATATTGAAAAAAAAAACGGAACACTTTCGTTAAAAATGATAAATGTGACCAAAAAAAAAATTCGATTTATCACGGCCGCCGCAAATTATCGATAATCCCGGCGGCCAATATCGAAACCACGACCTGTCCTAACGAATAACCTACCTAGCCAGTAGCCACCCACTGAGATGAAAACCGGAGTCAAATCTATGACTCTTAAGCCGCCCTCGGACGTATAATACGCGAGATTCGCGAAAAAAATCGAACCTCGAGACGCACGTACATACGACTGCATATAGCGGTACCTACTCGACGGTGGCGCCGCGGACGGTTGGCTTATTGAGCGACGCCGCTCTTCCCCGGGACTCGTCTATACGAAAAAGTAGGGCCGCGCGCCGGCTATACATTTAGCGGGGAACGCGAACAACATCCAAACGGGGAGGGTAATACCACTAGAACGGGCCGAGACTAGAATTTTCGAAAAAAAACGGCATAAAACGCGCGCTACGGCGGCGCTCGGTTCGCACGCGATATCCGCCGGGAAAAAAGCACGGCGTACTCGTAATAGTAAATTTAGCGGGGAACGCGAATAAGGTCCAAACCTCAGGGGCCCCCGGAGGGGGGGGGGTAAAAATCGTGAAACCGCGAAAAAGCGGTCTAAAAAACCGACTAAGCCGCCGCCGGGAGACGTTCTCATCGTATTAATTTTCTTGTTTTATATAGTTTTATTTTATATATTCATGAAGTACCTACATAAATATGTTAGTTATTAGCAAGGTTAAAGTGACATTAACTCAAATGTATCTTTGCGGAGAGAGGATCAAGCAATTACTAAACAATATTTTTAAAAAAAAAGCACATCAATGTAATACAAATATTCTTTACTGTGCTCAAAATCTAAAAGGTAAATGAGGATCTATCTAACATATTTTCCGTGGGTAGGCCCCTTAGGGGGGAGCAACTTTTTTCACCTGGGCTTAGAGGGCGCCAATTTTTTTTTTTGCACCGGGGCGCAAAATGTCTAAATGCGGCACCGAACCGGCTGAATGGTCTAGCTTTAATGAATATCTATAGATACATACCTATATCTACGCAGAGGTTGTTGATGAACTTGCACTCCAATCCCGCAGCTTAAAATTCACCTAGGTTCTCAATTCGTCATAAATCATATTATGTACCATATTATTATTATTCCTTTTTTGTGATTTATAAACTAAAAGTTATTATTTTAGTTATACCTAGTATAAAAGTTTTATACTACTTGTAAATTGTACACATACTTATTTTAATTATTTTTATTAATATAACAATTTACATCAATATATGGTACTTCTTTATGTTAACAGGGGGGGGGGGGATGTTTGCTGTATTTTGTAAATACAGGTACTACATATTAAACATTTTAATACTTACATCATATTATTATGTAAAATATATAATAAAAATATTATTAACAATTTTCAAAATTATTTTAATTGTTAGTTTTAAATTTTTCTATTTTATTTGTATTTAATGTTATTGTTTTTTACAAAAATATGTGGTGGACTATGCATTTAAAATATAACTATTATTCCCTAATAGTACTGTTCATTAAAATGTATAACATAGTATATAATTTATTATGGTAGGTATGTCAAGCAGCAAGCTGCTACTTATTTACTGTAATTTCTTACAACACACAATATTGACATCTAGTCTAAATAAATCTACATTCATTTCATGAATTTTTTTCTATATTTACCTAGTTAAAAGACACATATCTAACTCACGTTAAAATGTATATAATAATAAAAAAAACCGTACAAACACTGATATTCTTACCATTAATAAAATATTAACATTTGTCAAAAATGTATATAGTAATGTATATAGTAAATGTATATAAGTAATACATTGTTATTCAGTTGACGGCCACCAAGGTTTTGTTGTAGTATAAGTATAAATTATTAAATAAAAACACAAGACAAAAATATTATGAATACAATTGTTTAATAAGAACTCTGTTAAAATGTTACAAATATGTAAAAAAAAAAATGAATGCAAGATGTTTTATTTAAAAAAAAATGTAATATTTATATTATAATCTGTGATAATTGTATTTAAATTATGGCAATTTATTTTTATAAAGGTAGAGAATAGAACATTATTATTAATTGGTCGATTAGGTCAGTAAATAATCCTGTTTCCATGCATATATTTCAGATAATCTAATAGTTCTAGGGTAGTGCCATCTATATAATATAACGACAAGGTTAGACGTTTTTGCATACGTATGCCAAGCAGTCTAAATGCCGCAGCCTTGGAACACATACTTCTACCCCATAGCCAATATGACCGTCGCGTAGAAATACATGTTCCAAGGCTGAGGCATTCGACATTTAGACTGCATGGAATACGTATGTAAAAAAGGTTATCCTTGGAGTGGGGCAGCTAATTATATTTCTGAAGTAGCACATGAAAATGGATTTGTTTTGGATTGAATTACCATAACCACAGCGGAAGGTGAAAGCAACGGATCAGGTTTGAGATTGAGTGCGTTACTGCCGGCCTGACTGCTCTTGAACGCTCTTCAGTCCGTATCGATTGACGTATGGAAAAACTGTAAACAAAATAATAACATAAATACATTTTTAGTGATCCAATCGTCGAACAGTTTTGGTGAGCACCGAAAAGTCATAAATGCAAGTAGGTAGGTAACGTTAAAGGCTCAGTCAAACAGAAACCGAGTTGCCATGGTGTACGGATCAGCAGACCTGTTCCTGTTTGATTGAGCCTTAACATGAGCAAACGTCGAAACACTAAAATCTAACCGTAATGTCGTGAGTGTTACGGATATACAAGAGAACAAGACTTACTTGATGTTGACTTTCCACACGTGATCAAAAATGTTCGATAGTCCAAAATCCGCGCCAAGGTTGGGTGCCATCGTGAATGCTCTTCCGCCCACATCGATTGACGTATTGAAAAACTGTAAACAAAAATATATAATAAATATACATTTTTAGTGAAACAATCGTCGAGTAGTTTTGGTGAGCACCGGGAAGTCATAATTACGAGTAGGTAGGTAACGTCAACAAGACTAAACGCCGAATTACTAAAATCTAACCGTATCGACAGGAGCGTTACGGATAGGTACGAGAGAACGAGACGGAACTTACTTGACGTTGACTTTGAATGGCGTCCGATTCCGCACGCGAACAAAACCGTTCGGCAATCCAAAATCCATACCGAGGCTGTCGCAGTACAATCACATTAATTGCACAAAAACCAACAAAGGTCCGAACCGAACGACAAAATGTAAACGACAACAAACATGAAACAACGGACGGACGCTACAGCAGACCGCGCAGCGACACAATGATATTATTCAAGAGCCAATCGCGAGCCTGCCTAGCGCGTATGCAGCCGCCACTGCCCGCCCGACGTTGCCGCCGCTTGATAATATATTATATGCCAAGTCACAGATTTCTATATAGTAGGTTAGGTACTAGATAGCGAACTGCCGCCATGAATTGAAGCTTCAATGTCGGTTGGCAATTTTTCATAATATGACAAATAAGATGATATTATTATCATTTATTTTCATTAAAATATTTTATATAAGTAATTTTACAATTACCATTTTATTTGACCGTTAAAAAAAATATTATTCCCAATACGTTTTGTATAATAAATGAAATGTTTTTTGCCAACCGACAAAATGGCGAAAAAATCGAAGTAGACGCCGTGTGAAACGACGAAGGACGCGGTCGGCAATGCCAACTGTCGCAGCGGTGATCGGCGTCGAACGGATCTCGTGGATGACGCGGCCATGGAAAACGGATAAAATTGGGAACAAAAAAAAAGTCTCGGGGAAAAAAGACTTTTATTATTGACCACGATCCACAGACCTCGTAATCAAGTTGGATTAGGCATATATTTATCAAGCATTATCACTAGTATCATTATAGTTATCGCTCATTTATTCCCAGGGATAATGCTCTTATTACTTATTAGCAGGGCTCGGGACTTAAAGCATTTGCTTATTTTTATAGATTGACTTAAATTGTAGCAGAGTGCTATAGAAGTGTATGTCATGTTACAACACATTCAATTAAGAAATTTGAAAGTGCTTTTTTTTGCTTTTTTCAGTGATTTTTCAAAAAAATGCTTATTTCAAGTTTTTCTGATAATTATTGCTTTTTTGACCAGTTTTTATACTTTTTTATGATTTTCTACTGCAAAGTTGTTTTTGATAGAATTAAAATTTAAAATAATTTTAATTAAAAAATTAATTTTTTTTCAACTATTTGTAAATATTGTTTACATTTTAATTTTCAGAAAATCCATAAAATCCTCAGTCCTGAAAATGAAGTTTAATTTTTTTTATAATATAAAGATAAAGTTTTATTTTTTATTTTATTGTTGTTTTTTTTAATAAATATTTTTGCTTAAATTTAAGATTTTTAAATGCTTATTTGAGTGCTTATAATGATGTTTTTAAGTGCTTATTTTAATGATTTTAAGTGCTTTAAGTCCCGAGCCCTGCTTATTAGCATAAAATATGCGTCGTCACTCGGCCGCCAAGTATAGTTTTATAAAACTATGAACACATAGAAAGCACATTTCAACCAACGATTCGTTGCTTGTAAATTATATGAGCATTATGTGCTTCAAATATCGGGACATGTTTCCGTCCATAGTATATTATATGATCTAAGTTATTAATAATAACAATAATTAACAGTTGATTATTAGTAACAAACTAAATAATTTATTACTAATAATTACTCAAGGTCCGAAAGTCCGATAGGAACAGTCATGTACCGACTCCCATAGAAAATATTTGGTCATGCCGACTCGTATCGCAGTCTAAAAATTGCACAAAATTAACTGTCAAGTTACAATTTATCAAACTCCAATGTATACTTAATGTTTTGCTGATGAACGCATAACTTGGATTTGTATGCAATAAAAAATTGTAAAATATGCAGTTTATTTACCAAAATATGCAAAACTATGCATTTTAATTTTTAAAGGATACTTATAGACGGCTAGACACAAAAATAGTTTAGAAATATTTATTTATTGAAATACATCAATGATAGGCTGAATGGCTGATATAATATAATTGAGATTGAAAATTAATAATTATTTAATTATTTTTATCATGCATATTTATTAATTGTTATTTTAGTAAGAAAATTTATAATTCTCATTCAACAGTGGAAATGTATGCTATGACCACATATTATTTTCATATTTACCAGTAATTTACCAGATACTTACAAGTATAATTGCTATTTGACTATTATATGATCATTTTATGATCGACGACTGTTATAATATTATGTTGTTTGTTTTTATAACTCAAGCCGACTAGCCATATAGGTACTTTCCCGTAATAAAATAAAATAAAAATATAACACCTGTAAGCAGTGGTGGATCCTGCAGGGCAATGGGATTTCCCTTATGTTTTGCACTGCGTTTAGCCAATTTCTATAATTTTGTACTTTTGCCTACTACCGAGGTACTATACTCAAAGATGTCACATAATAGTATGCTGTGTTAATTCTTATGTAGTTACTGAAGTAAATATTTTATATTTTTATAGTATTTATTCAATATTATTTAATCCGTTCTTTGACATCATCGGTAAAAAATATATGGCTACTTTTAATATAATGTAGTATTATATTACATATTATAAATAGTTAATTAAAAACTCAGTACAGGGTTGCTACTAATTTTTTTCTTAAAAAAAGTAAGAATAGTGAGTATTTTTTTCAATTAAGTGAGTAATATTCTAGTAAAAAGTGAGTATTATTTTCATATTATAGGTGAGTTTTATCAAGTCAGTCTTAGAATGTTAAATGTTTGGGAATGACAACTGGTGTAGCGCACAGAATCTGAATACAATATGTTAGCATAAGGTGCATATTTTGATATTAAGAGATTATATTCATATGAACTTCCAATTGAGATATAATTCATAACAAGTAGATATTTAAGTTTATAAACTCAGCTAAAATTGTTTTATAGTAGGTAAGGTATAAAGGTATGGTTATAATACATTGGTAGTTGATTACTTATATTTAATTATAATACAATTTATAGTACATATTAGTCTTTAGGTTTATGAACTAAGCTTATTTTATAACTTTAAAATGCAGGGTTATTCAAAATGATTCATCCGATTTAAAATGGCTATATAAAGATCTGACGCCATGTGATTATTTCTTTTGGGGATATGTTAAAGACACTGTGTACATACCACTGCCATCATATCTAGTTGAATTGAAAAATCAATTAACAACAGCCATGTACTCTATGCTGCAAAAAGTATGGTATGAATTTGACTACCGACTAGATGTTATTTGTGTAACCAAAGGAGCTCACATAGAACATTTATAGATACAGTTAACTAAACTTGACATATTTTTATTTTATCTAATGTATAACATATTGTTCTAAACCTAAAAAATAAAATAATATAAGCACTTTAAATCAGATGAACCATTTTGAATAACCCTGTACAATTATTTATTATACAAATTTAAAAATATAATATCAAATTAAAAAAAAAATGAAATGTATTCCTTATATTTCCTTCAGCTAGAAATAATTATTACAAAGATTGCATTGGTAAGGTTTTTATCCTATATAAATCCTTGTATCAGTTTTGATAACATAGCACAGCTCATGCAAGGACTCATACCAGAGAAACAACTTACAATTGTTTTGCTTGTTGACTTGAAGTGGATTCATTTGAGTAGCATTTAGTTTCTTTAGGTTTTCAAATTGATGAATTCTCTAGGACTTCAATTTCATGTTCGAAAACATCACATTTTGAAGGTTGTCCTCTCATATGAATTCTACATTGTATGTAAAATAAATACCAATATAGGAAATTGAAATATAAATTGGCTAAAATAAATACTGATATCTGAATCCGAACAGAAATCACAGAAATTATTTTCGGTTTCAAGCCATGGTAATTTTAATAACATAATAATAATCATTTTGATATTACAGTGAATTGACCTATTGTCAAACATGAATGTAAGAACATTATATGTGTTCTCTCGCTGGTTTTTTTACGATATTTTAAATTTTAATTTTGAAGTTACTTCTGAGTAAAGCGTGGATTTCTATATAAAAATATTTCTCTAATGGATGCATAACAACGAGAGTGAGATATGTCAACGATTCATAGTACACAGAATCTGAATACAATATGTTAGCATATAAGTGCATATTTTGATATTAAGAGATTATATTCATATGAACTCATATTTTTGCATATTCCGATAATATAAATTATATATAACATGTATCTAAATATTTCCAAGAATTAAAAAAATATGTACATACTTTCAACTATAGAAGATAGAAAGATGATATATATATAAATATATATATATATATATATATAAATGATAATAGATAATCTACCAATCTATGATTTCAACTGCTGCAATAAGATGCGACCTGAATAATTGGTAATTTTTTGTTACCGTTGTGTTTTTGTTAACAAATTTTAATTTATTAAAATGCCGAAATAATGATCTAAAAAATTCAGTTTGCTTAAACAGTGGAGTATGAACTTTTTAATACAGGTGGAGTAGTTTTTACGAGCGATACCGTAGTGTGATATATTTCCATCTTTGTAACAGTTAAATTCTATCAAATTCCAATTTTGATTATTATTTATTAAATTTGTTTTGCATATAAGTATATATTTTGATATCAAAAAAAATGAATTGATAAAAAAGCATATTTTTGCTTATTTTACTAATATTTAAAAATGATCATAATTCACTTAAAAATTAAAATATCGTAAAAAAAACAATGAGATAACACAGATAATGTTGTTACCTTAAAGTTTTATAAAACACTGTAATATCAAAAGTAACAGCATACTATTGAAACCGATGAACGGAATTCTGCAATGTTGTACGTGTTTTAGGCGGTGATGACATATGTGGGAGTGATGCCCTCTTAAGATCTTTTTTCTACCAACGGAGATAGACGCTCTGCTGGTATGGTGCATTCCAGTCCATTTAGAGCACTGATTCTGCCTTTAGCACCAGTTTTCTATAGATAAAATGATTTGTTCTTCTTATGCAAATTTCTGTTTTGATATATTTACAGAATCTGTAAAAAGATACATACAATTACTTAATGATGTTGTCTGTATTAAATTATAAATAATAAAACTTATGAGATGGATATAAATAATTTCTAAATAATAAACAAACAAGTAATTAACAAGTTATAAGTGACGTTTTCAAAAACTATTAAGACATTTGTTGTCTCCGTCTTACAAGTGCGTAACATAGCAAATTGCACCCTCAGCAAAACAAGTGTAGCTCAGTTAGTTTAAAAATTAATAGAATTCACCTCTCATTAAATTTAAAAGTAGGATTATTATCTAGGCAATCTCATTGGCTTTTTATTATATTTTAATTATAAAGCGAGTTATGAGTATTTTAAGATATTCAAACAATTTACAATTTTAAAATACTTGTAACAGTATTTGTTTTTTAACATTATGTTTATTTACTATTTCCAATCTCTCATAGTTATCTCAATTATATTATATTATTCATGACTATGACTATACAATCGCTCAAGAGCTGTAAATTGACCTAAGCACTTCCTCTTGCTATTTATCGTTCAACGAGCAATCATTCTATCTTAAACCGTGGTTCCGGGGAACAAGTATAGCAGTTACAATTCATAAATCTTTTGTTCTACTATAGTCTATTCAGAATAAGAGCACAAAGTGACTTGCTTCCTGTAGTATACAGTAAAATCAAAAACATTTACAGATATTAAATAATAAATCATTATAAGTTGGTATATAAACTAATAAAGTATACTTACAAATATTTGGATATATATTTTTATAAAACTTGAAATCAAATTTATTCGGTTTTGCGAGATTGTTTCTCAATTTTTTTGTCAAATGATTATTATTTGGCCAAGCTCAAACTGTAGCACTATAATTTTAACGTAACTGTAAAATATAAATGAATTATTATATAAATATATTTATATTATAATATTTATTAAAAATTAAAATTAAATTGATGATTTGTGTAAATAACACCATTGTCCATTGCCAACAGTTAGGTATGTGATTACAATATGTAATATTATATTTTAATAATATAATCAAGGTTGCTGTTTCTTTTCTTTATTTTACTTAAATTAAAATTTCTACAGCCATGGCTATAAAATTTAATTTAACACACCGATTGGGTGGCCTATATTGATTTGGGGCCAAATCAGACATTGCTAAACTAATATAAGAAGGCTCATTGAGTTAATACATTGGGTACTAACATCACCTTCATTTGGGTACCGGGTCACATAAATATAGAAGGCAACAGATAAATTAAAAACACAATTCATGAATGGCAAAATTAGAGTCTAAACAGAAAAGAAAAAATTATAATTAATCATCCTTGTATAGGCTGTACAAGGTTAACACACAAGTGCCTAATGGCCAAAGAGGAACCACCTCGGTGTACAACCAGTGGCGTTAACCTAACAGTTAAACACTTAATAATAACAGAATGCTATAAATATATAAGCGACCTCAGAAAATACAATATCCCGTCCAATTAAGACGCAACTTTAGGCCTGAACATGGAAAATAGCAATAGTATACCTAATCAACTGATTGAGAAAAACAGATCTGTATAATCAAATTTAACTTAATAAATAAAAAAATAATTGTAACAATGTAATCGTCGAAAATTGTAAAAATATGTAATCGTTTTGTAAAATTTTAACAAATAATTTTTGTTGTTGATATTTTAAATGATTAATAATAATAATAATAATAATAATAAAAAACAGTATATTTGTTTAAGCTTCTAGTTACAACATTATTACAGCAAAATATGACTGTGACCTAACCGTAAGCCCATATTAATAATTGTTAATAATCAAATTAAAAACGACACAAATGTGATAAATTCATCGGCCGTACTTTAATAAATTAATACCACAAATTGTTGAGCAATACTCACATGTGAATGAATTGAGTGGCGGATTTAATCTGAGCAACCATACTTAGCCACAAACAACGGACGAACGAAATGCACAATACAATTAATTCTCAACGCTGACGGTTAGAACAGCAAACACCCTACAATGGGAAACGAAGACAGATTAATACGTATAATTGGCTGTCGCCTCGAACAATAACTACCGGACAGCGTAAACGTAAAAATCCACTAGAACATGAATTCAATCCGTACTGCACCAACGAAAAGTACACAAGCCACATGGGTGTACGCTTCGACCTCAGCTGCATAACTTTAGCTAAAAACAGAAAAGAAAGTAATTGGTAATACAACAAAACGGTTTTTGGGTTAGATCGGACTACGATCAATCAAACAGGAACGACCGACGAAAATCAGACGAATAACGTAGAGCACCGCCTTCTACATACGAAAGGTCAACAATACAGACTTTATATGGCGGCGAAAGGTTTAGACTGACGACTGACTTGTACACTACGAACTTCTTTAAAGTTTCAATACAATATAATAAAAACACGAACAACAAGCAATTTTGCGACAAGCGACGTTCACGGGACAATGACTGTGATGATAACAGCTATCGTACATTAACTATCGCTTATCAATTCTGATAACCGCATTCTAGCATAATATTCCATTGCCTATGCAAATTTAATTTGACTTTCCAGTAGATATTTTTTTTTTCGATAAAGGTAGACTATAATGATATTATGATATTATATCATTGAGTTCAAGTTTAATACAATCCATTATGCATTGACCCACTTGTAACTTACTGTACAGCAGCAGAGCAACATCCACTTACCCGCTTTTTTTTAAATTTGTTTTGTACATATTGTTATTTAAAAACTGGAAAATTTTATATCGTCTTATAAATATGGTATATTTATTTAATAAAGAGTAAATGGGTGGTGTGGGGGGCTTTGCCCCCCGTGGCTCTGTGTTCTGAAAATTATCTGGACCCTCCCCATGACAAATTCCTAAATACGCCACTGAGTGTTACCTACGCCCTGGCAGCGTACTGTTCAAGCTGCTCACACCTAAAGCGCCGGAGAGGTCTTCCCCACAACACCCTCTGGGCGGAGTCGGTAGTGGTACGTCCTAGCAGCGTACTGTTCAAGCTACCGATTCCAAACTGCAGCGGTCTGTTGTCCGCAACCGCCGACCTTGGCCGTCACCCGCACGCGCCACCGTCGACATCGCCGTTGCCGCCATCACTGGCCGCGTCACCTCCGGTTAGCACGGTGCATCGAGGACGGTTCAACGCCCGATAGCCACATCCCGTTGCTGTACTGCCACCAACCACCACCAGCAGAGCATAGGCGCACATTGTGTGTGAATTTAGGGGGTGCTGGAATAATTTATGGTTCACAGATCCGTGGGGGGCTTTGCTCCACACACCCCAGGGGCGTATTTATGGGGGTGGCTGAGGGGGCTTCAGCCCCCCCCCGAAATCTAGGAATTGTTTATTAAGTCTACTTATTATGTTCTACTAGATGTAAAATCGTAAAAGTTCAATATAATTTTATAAAGAATTATTATTAACAACGAACAAGTTATTCATATTATAATGTGTCAATGACGATTTTGATCGTAACGAATAACGATTATATGATCGTTATTTGAGTTCGGTACATAATGCTTAATTTTGACGTGCTGTACTGCTGCATTATCGTAATTTCGATTTCTTTTATCTAGAATTGATTTACTGATATTATACACGCGTTGTCGCGTTTCAATCACCGTACAATAATAATTATACGAGCATTACGAGCCCGTATGAGCTAAAAATATTTCCGAGAAGTTGTGACGACGACGGCCGGCTGTTATATTATAGTCACTATTTTAGATAAATATTTTGTTGTCTGCTATATACGACGTTTAGTATCGCACGTAGTACGTACCTACTAACTACTAAGACAGTGGATTGTGACGAGTGTTTTTATTTGTTGGTTAAATAAAATAATAGTAATACACCTAAGCATAATGAAAAGAACTCAACAATCATTATTGCATTTTTATAAAAAATCTAAACAGTCCACCGAATGCGTCGATGATACAGTTCCATCTACATCGAATGTTTTACAAGATGATGACATTATGGCAACACTTGAAACAGAAAAAACAGCTCCAAGTCCACCAGTTATTTCTCCGGTAATTGAACCTAGTTTAAAATGTTTAGATTCTAAGTTTGATATAGGAGGTTATGTTGAATATAAGAATAATTTAAGTGACGAAGAGAAAGTTTCAATTTTGCAAAACGTATGGACACCCGATTTAAAGTTTAATTTCCCATATGATAATAGTGGAAAATATAAACGTAAATTTCAAATTAAATGGCTTGAAACTTTCAAATGGTTAGCATATTCAAAATTAAGAGAGGGTTTATTTTGTAAATTCTGTGTACTGTTCTTAAATTTAAATCAGGTTGGTAAGGGATCACATGAGAAGTTAGGTAAACTTGTTTTAAAACCCTTGACAAAGTTAAAAGACGCATTGGAAGACTTTAGAAATCACGAAAAAAATGATTACCATAAAAATTCGTTACTTACTGCTGACAACATAAAAGCAATTTTAGAAAAAAAACAAGATAATATATTAGTACAATTAAATAGTAAACGAAAAGATGAAGTTATAAAAAATCGCGCAAAACTTAAGCCAATTATTCAAACAATTCGGTTATGTGGTAGACAGCAAATAGCGTTACGGGGGCACGAGGATTCTGGTAGAATTTCTTTAGAAGAACCAAAAAATAACGATGGTAATTTCCGTTGTTTGCTTCGATATCGCTCGAAAAATGGTGACAACGTGTTAAAAGAACATTTGGAAACTAGTGGTTGTAAATCTATGTATACAAGTCCACTTATACAAAACGAAATAATAAATTTGTTTGGTGATTTAATTCAGTCAAAAATTCTTGAAAGAGTTTCAAAAACTAATTTTTATACAATACTTGCAGACGAAACAACTGATATTCCTCAAATTGAACAGTTCTCATTATGTATTCGTTATGTTGACGAGCAGGTTTTTTCAATTCGAGAAGATTTTCTTACATTCGTTCCGGTATATGATATATCTGGTGAAGGTTTGGCTAACACGATTAAAGAAACATTAAAAAAAATTGGTTTTGATTTGAATAAAATGCGAGGTCAGGGTTACGATGGGGCTGCAGCAATACGTGGTCGTTTTAGAGGTGTTCAGGCAATTATTAAAGATATGTACCCAAAAGCATTATACACACATTGTGTATCACACTCACTAAATCTTTGTTTATCGGATGCTACAAAATCTCAAGATATTCGAAATGCTTTTGGTATAATAAGTGAATGCTGTTCTTTTTTTAACAGTTCGGCAAAACGAACTACAGTCCTCAAAAATAAAATAAAAGAAATTAAACCAAATTCACAATCTACAAAATTGAAATCTTTATGTGAAACTCGCTGGGTGTTACGCCATGAAGCAGTTATGCTTTTTAAAGAATTTGTAGAACCCGTTGTAGCTGCATTAGAAGAAGTGCAAAGTGAATGTTCTGGGACCGATTCTTCAAAAAGAGCTAATAGCCTTTTACATTGTATTTGCAACTTTAATTTTTTAATATCTATTTGTGTGTCTAGTAAATTATTAAGTTATACTTATAATTTATCGAAATATTTACAAAGCAAAAATATTGATTTATTTAATGCTCTTAATCAAGTTTCCGATGTAATTTCTGTGTTTCAATCCATAAGAGAAAACGTTGATTTAAAATTTAACAATATTTATAAAGAAGCCAAAGATGTTGCTGAAAAGTTAAATATTGAGCCAAAAATGCCTCGTATTTGTAGCAGTCAAAGAAATAGAAGCAATGTACCATCTAACAACATTGAAGAATATTACAAAAAATCTATTTTTATACCGTACTTGGACGATTTGTTGATGGCATTAAATGAAAGATTTATACCTCACAATGAAACTATAACTTCATTACAATATGTCTTACCAAGTATTGTAGTTGAAAAACCATTTTCTTATTTAAAAATAGCTGTTGAATTTTATGAAAATGATTTACCGGGGCTAAATGACGTTATAGAAGCAGAGTACGAAATTTGGCAAGCTAAGTGGAAGAATATTGAAGACAACTTAAGGCCCACAACTGCTATAGAGGCTTTGAGTGTCTGTGATAATTTAATGTATCCAAATATGTATGAATTATTAAAAATACTAGCTATAATACCAGTATCCACCGCTACAGCTGAGCGTAGCTTTTCGACGTTGAGAAGACTCAAAACGTATTTAAGAAATACAACTTCAGAATCCAGACTAGTGGGACTTGCCCTTTTAGCTATTCATAGAGACATTGACATACCAGATGACATTTTATTAGATAAATTTGCTAACAGTGGCAAAGAAAGAAATTTAAATTTGATTTGATTTGTTATATTAATATCGTATTATTATTATTATTATTATTATACATTATTTCATTATTAATTTTTTGAAAACATTAAAAATCATGACAAAAATTAAAATTGAGTACTAATTTTCTAACTCTTATTTTTAATAGGCTGAATTAGGGAATTTCAGCTGGAGAAAATACCACAGCCCCCCCCCAAAAAAATATCTAAATACGCCCCTGACACACCCCCCTAAATCCTAATATTTCTGCATTGCATTAGATTTAATTTGTATAGTGTATACAATAATATCTAAAGTGCAATGTATCAAATAGTCTATATGATTGTACAGAAGACGCTAGGTACACCCACATGTGTTGTCTCCGTATTAAAAACGTAGGTACAACATAGGCAAAACTGTTTTGCACGGGTATAAAAAACATTCAGGCTGTACTCTAAGCTAAGAAACTAAATGTTCACACTATAAAAATGAGAAAATTTACTGTGTAACTTTGTTTTTATATTTCATAAAATTTGAAAACAATATATTAGGAGCCTTCTATTACATTTATAAGCTTTTATACCTAACAAATAAAATTTTATTGATACTTATAGAAAAAAAAACTAAAAAAAAATGGAAACTAAAAATGTCCATAAAAACCTCAAAATAACTCAAAATATTTAGAAAATTTTATCATGCATAGAAAATGGAAATATAAATAACCAGTAAGATAATATAATTTTCAATCTTGTAAAAAGATACTTTTAATTTGTATTTAAATAGAGATACAAATACATCAACTTAAAAAGTATTTAAATAGTATTTAAAGTACTTTTTTCCATAAGTATTTAAGAACAAATACAAATGCTTAGAAAGTATTTAAACACAAATACTTATTTTAATATATTTGTTTTAAGTTTTAACTTTGGGTTCAATACTTTTTCTCTGATATTTTAACTTTAAATTTGACCATGAGATCAAACTCGTTCAAACTGTACATATTAATTATTATTATATAGTTAATACTTAATAGTTCATATATTATAATGCATGTTCCATTTACTGGTACTAACCAAGGTACCTATAATTGTATGATAAGTTAATAATCACCGAATGATCGTTTTAATTATTTATTGTATGAGAACTAAATAGATATTATAAGAACCTTTATCTCCACAACAAACCTAGCTTCTAGAGAAAATAATTTATATATAAATGCTATATTTCTGTAGTGAAAATATTTGTATTAATGTATATAATATTACGTATGTATAGGTACTATTCAATTATTCAACAGGAAAAAAAATAAAAATAAAAACAAAAATTAATACCAAAAGTCTTTATTGGATTTTAAAATCATAATCTTTTCAAAATTGTCATCATTCATTTTGCCTCTTTTTTTGGACAGCACAGCACCTACGCAAAATACGCTCCCGGCCGGACTTTTTTGCCGAATTTTTTCGTTTTCTCTGACAGTTTCGTCTTTTCGCATGCCGTTCGTGGATCTAACATCATGTTGGTTTATGGGCTCGTTTTAGATTCAGAACTTGAATTCAGACTTCATAGATCATAGGTAAACGTAAAGTCGTAAACCGAATCAGCTGATCGAGTTTCGCTTCATTATTGTTCTATGTTTACAGTTTGGAGTTTCAAATAATTCACATCACAATAAACTTATATAGGCTTCAATGAAAAAAAAACAATAATATTTTGCATTTTAGGAGGCTATGTCGGGAATAAACTTACAAAATGTCAATGATATAACTCATGACTATATTATTTAGTCATGATATTACTTTGATTTCTGAGAAAAAAGATAATAAATAATCATTTATTATTGAAAAAAATCGATAAAGTATTTAAATAAAAGTATTTGATTTTCAAATACAAATACGTCCAAAACCGTATTTAAAATACTTTCCAAATACTTTATTCAAAAAGTATTTAAAAAGTATTCTAAATACAATAAAAGTATTTAAATACATTTACTCAAATACTTTACAAGACTGATAATTTTCTATAATGATATGATATAATATTATTGCTACATACTGTTTAATGTTTTGACAAAAACTGAAACACTGAAATATGCATTCACACAATACTGTTTTAATCGTGAATTCGTAAACAGTTGTCAATATTTGTAATAAAAAGAAAAATTCCGAACCAATAAACCACGATAGTTTATAAATGATTGGTGAAATACCGAAATAAACTGAGGGTGCTAGTTTGAAGCTTGGGGGTGCCCTATGTGCCCCTATGCAGCAGAGTCGGCTGTTTTGGTTCACACTGTTCACAGTACTTTAAGGTTCAGTCCACAAACCCTACGGCACCCACGTGAGTTACCTATATAAGCAGTATCATCAATAAATATACACATATCAAATATTTGTAGCTCGACGAGCAATTATATCAAAAGAAAATATTGTATGAACCATATTTAAAATATTTGTAAGCTGACTAAGCTCCAAGAGCACTTATAAAATAAAAGAAAAAACTGTAAAAAATAAAATAAACTGTTTTTATTATTTCACGTAAGAATAAAGGACATTATACGAAACTACGCGTGTTTTGCATTCTTACAAATATTGTTGTCAGTGCGACGGCTATTTCACGTTCGTAAATTGGATTTGAATATTTTGATCTAATGACTTTAATGACTTGTGCATGTGGCGTAGGTAATACGGCGACCACTGCCATAATTATTAGTGTTTTCGTTATTTGCACTAATGACGATAAATACGTATTATTGACAAAAATACTAAATAGGTAGGTACCAGATTATGGATTACATAATGAGCGTAAACATTTTATCAATGAACAATATTTTGTCTTATTATACCTACCATCGTTGTCCTGAGCATACGGAAGTGTCGTAATTTGCATTTGTTTTCAATACCTAGTGTATTTAATATTAAAAATTATCTTGGTGAAAAATTCAGGACATATTTAAGTAAAAAAAAAAAAATAAAGGCAATATATTAGAGTTGAGAAAAGAAAATCTACCCAAAAAAGTTTGTTGATTTGGTTAATTAGTGATTTTGAATTTTGTATTTTGGCAAATATAATATTTTTTATAGGATAATATAACTAACTCAGATACAGAGATACTTCTTCGCGCAAAATGTTGCTTTCGATTAGTTGTACTGACGAAGTATGTCGTGATAACGTGATAACAGCGAGATAATATCAAAAGATGGAATCCCTATGATTAGTGTATAAGATAAAATATATATGTAATACGTCTTTATGTATAGCAATAATTAATAATAAATCAGGTACATTATAAAAACTGAACTTTATTAATATATTTATACCTAGTATTCTTACATAATTATTAATTATAATATATATTTTTCGTAAATATACATATTTCTAGTATTATAATATTATAGTAGGTATCTATTTATAGTATTAATAAACAATGAAAAAAAAACATAATTATTATTATATAGAAATAATATTTGAACGTTGTTGATAAAACAGGGGCCTCGATTTTTTTTCTTCATTTACTATATATGAACAAGGTGGTTCCTAGAGTTATTGTATATCCCCCCCCCCCCCAGCACAACCAGCCAAAATGTTAATGAATTATTTTTTGTAAACTAACTTAGGATATATTATGTCAGAATTCAGTTTTTTTCTTATGAATAAAAATAAAAAATGACTATAGTTGTATGGTTAAAGTGAAATCTGTATAGGGAACAGCACTGTTTGATGCTGACCGTTAAACGCCAATATTATTAACGCTGACTTTTACCTCCCTCCCCCACTCACCAAAAAGTCGCTCGATTAAAATTTTTCCACTTTTACAATTCTCTACTAAAACCAAGCATTAACTTCTGACGTGCTTAATGATACACCTGATTTTAATAAGTTACTAAACAAAATGTAATTCAAATTACGAAAAAGATATCATCCAAAATATAATAAAGAAGACAAACAATGAACAAAAGTTGACACAACATTATTTTTAAAGAAAGTAATAGCTAAATATAAAAAACTTAAATACTAAATGAGCAATTCATGTAACATTTTAGATGACTTAGCTATAGTATCAATAATTTGCGTTTTCTGAATCTTGATATCTTTTTCAATATTGCCATGAGCATTAAAGGCGATAAATGTTGTTGACTTATTGTTGATCTGATTTTAGACTTCGCTTATATATACCTAATATTAATTATTGATATCAAAATGAATAAAAAGAAAAATAATTTGATATTTCACTATTAATGAAAATCTGAAAGTAACTCGTCACTAGTCACTTGTCTATACGATATAGTACAATAGATATTTTTTAATTATTGTTAATTGTTCAGTTAAATAAAATGTGAGATGTAGTTATAAAACTATAGTCTATAAATCAAATTATTGATTAAAAGATAAAAGTTACATACTATATGAAATAATATTTTTGTATGCAGATTGTTAACGATAAGACATAGATTGTAAGCCATTAAATATAATCCTAATGAAAACAAATAACAGATAAATCGGAGATTGGTATTTTGTACTAAAAATAGAAAAACAATAAGCATGCGTATTAAATCATACGTTATACGAACACAAATACACAATACATATCAATTATCAGTATATTATCACGGTTACCTATAAAAAACATGATAACCGTGTTCGTAGTATACAAAATTCATATTATAATAATATATAAACAACACGGTCAACACGGTCAACACTCAACACTGTACACGTACCTAGTTTAGTTCTTACTTCTTAATTTCGATATAGCGCTTATGATAATAATTGATTAGACAATTTATCAAACCTATTGTACAGCCGTACGGGGGCCCCATACATAAACGTTATTGACTTAATGTATTTGTACTCGTTACGATTTTCCCGACAATTTTGTTGTACCTGTGGGCTGTAGCAAACCCTGTTGTACAAAAAAATCTTATTTGCGTTCAAATCATCTCGTTTATCATTACATTTGTACTACACCTTATACGAGTAAACAGCACACAGCACACCGCACACGTACACCATACACCATGACAAAATATAGATTCTATTATATCGTACTAGATAGTAGATACGTGTTTGTAGTGATTGTACACTACACTCAAATTCTATAACTTATACACAGGGCCGGGTTTAGGTTGGTGGGTGCCCTAGGGCTCATCATATGGCCATATAAGGTTGACATATAACTTACTGCATAAGCTGAAAGGTAATTATCTCGTGGGGGCCTCTTATTAATTGAATCTTGTGGGGCCTCGGGCCCCGTGGGCTCTCTCTAAACCGGCCCCGTTTATACACTTCGTCAGTAGCGCAACTAGGCCAATTGTCACTTTCAATGAAGGGCTCTATTAAAGTTGTATTAAAAGTTTTCTACGATTATTTTTGTGAATAAAAATTGGGGTGGTCATATTGATTGTAAAAATTGTTATCCAAATCTAATATGCGAAAACAATATTTTTTAGTTAAGACTTAGGCTGGGGCCCCTGCAGCCTGTGGGCCGCAGTGATCGACACTCCCTCGTCCATCGTCGTACATTTAATTGTAAAAAAAAAAAAGCTCAGAGCCTCGGCCAGACACTGGCCTTTTGTATAACCGTGAGCACAAATCATCTGTAAACAAGTGCCCATGACAAATGCATCATTTTGTATGCGAGTAGTGGGAATGTAAATGTTTATGCGCATGCGCGAACCAAGCATATTTTCACTGTGCTCAATCCACGGTCGCCGTCATCGTAACGTCTTGTACCTATAATCAGTGGCGTATTTAGGAATTTGTCATGGGGAGGGTCAAGATAATTTTCAGAACACAGAGCCACGGGGGACGAAGCCCCCCACACCACCCATTTACTCTTTATTAAATAAAATATACCATATTTATAAGACGATATAAAATTGTCGAGTTTTTAATTATTAAATAATAATATGTACAAAACAAATTTAAAAAAAAGCGGGCGAGTGGATGTCATTCTGCTGCTGTACAGTAGGTTACAAGTGGGTCAATGTATAATGGATTGTATTAAACTTGAACTCAATGATATAATATAATATCATTGTATAAGAAAAGCGATTCTGAGCGAAGACGGTTTGTTAGTCTGGATATTTTATATTGTTATTATTTATTATAGCCTGTTAGTTGAATTAATAATGAAATACTTTTATTTTTTTCTATGGTGATAGACAAAGTGTTAGAAATTAAAATCCCATTTTTAGCGGTTTTTCGTAATTTTTTGGTGGTTTTCACAGTGGCATTAAATAACTATTGAGAAAATCAAAAAATGACCTCTCTAAGATAGTAATCTTTCTAAAAGAAAAGTTACTATATGTCTATACATGTTGAAATCGAAGCACTCCTTCTGGAAGAAATTTTGTATACAGGAAAAAAAAATAAACACCATTGTAGAACCAATAGATCCCTCAGAATCGAATATATAGTTATATGTTATACCTTTTATACAAATATTTCTTTAATTACATTAGGTACATACTTCATTCATAGTTGATCTTAGATAGCTTTTCAACCTTAAAAAGTTTGAAAAAGATCTCTCTGGAGTGGTTGTAGATACTGGCAATGTACAAAACTACAAAATATTTGAATTAAAAAATGAATTTGGTATTTTTCAACCATTTCCGGTACCCAACTGATAAAAATAATCACGATATTTATTGAAAATATTGATATAACTATAGCTTCGAACATTTTTTATAAAATCCGTAAAATCGTATGATAAAATTTGTTTTTTAATCATGTAAAAACTGCACAACATTTAACATGTACGAGACACGAGTCAATGGGAGGGGTCCGGACCCTATGGACCCCCCCCGTAAATACGCCACTGCCTATAATAGTCAGTACTCCTAGCTGATAGCTGTACCATAGACCATAGTCTACAATACCTACAACATCACTTATCACTTATAACTTATAAGTTATCACGTCCTATGACAGTACTTCCCTAATATATTTGCTTTATAGTGTAGAATACTATGTTAAATCAATAGCTAATTAGTCAACAAAATAGTTTAATCCCTTTCATAAATATTATATATTACAATTAATGCTTTAGAGCAATTTAATATTCTTAAAAAATATAGGTGGTGCATTGCTCCTGTGCTTCATAACACGAGCTGCCACTGGTCTAATTATAATGCATTATCTGGCGTGGTTAGTAAATTATTAATTAGGGCAAATGTAATTTCCTTCACGATACCTACGCGTGCGAGCGGCGTAGGTACGTAATATACTAATATTATATTAGTAAAATATAATATTATGCCGACCGCCGACCGGCGCCATAATAATTAGTGTCTTCGTTATTGCTATTTCCACGAATGAATACGTATTATTGACAAAAATACTAATAAGGTACCAGATTATGGATTACATAATGAGCGTAAACATTTTATCAATGAACAATATTTTGTCTTATTATACGATCGTTAAATGATTTAACAAAAAAATGTTTCATTTCTGCATTGATTGAAGCAGAATGTACTCCTTCCAAATTCAAACAGTGGTTTGCACATGGTATATAAAGAGCGAGATTATTTTTTTCTTGAATTCGTGCTTGGACTCCACGATATTTTCCTGCCATATTGGCACCATTATCATAGCCTTGACCTCTTGCATCTTGAATATCGAGCTGATCATCTTGTAATTTCTTCATTATATCAGATGCCAATCCTTCGCCGGTCTTTTCATCAGTAATAATGAAGTCAATAAAACTTTCTTCTATCTTCACTTTTCCATTAGCTATATAGACATATCGAATAATTTCCGACATTTGTTCATTATGAGAGACGTCAGGAGTGCAATCAAACAGAAGACTTATATAGTATTTAGATTTCCGAATCCTCGATAAAATTTCATAATTACTTGATTCCTAAACCATTTAAGTTAAACACAATTTAAGAACTGTGTTTGCAAGCAAAATCATTTTAAAAGTAATAAAACAGACGACATTGGCTAGTTATTATTGTGTAGAATTGTAGAAATAAATTAATGGTATGTAGTTATACTTTATATTTATTTATTTATGCTAAAAATGATCAAAATACGTATGTTGTAAAAATGACAGGTCCCTATGATTATTTTGTACGGATAATAATTATAATACAATTAGGTTTAGGTAATTGAATAGTTAAATATATTTTTTTAAGTAAGACATTTTTGAATGCTCCCTAAGTACTATATTGGTAGAACAATATTTTAATTTAAAAAATGTATCAAAGTTTAGCGCCCCCATTTCATTGGCGCCCGAGGCAAATGCCTCAGTCGCTTCACCCTTGCTACGGCCCTCACTTAAATCAATACATTCATCGACAAAATCAATACATTCATCGACAAAATCAATACATTCATTGACAAAACCGATTTTGGTTTTTGGTGTAACTCTAAAACAAATTACCGTAGATACATGATATTTTCACTGAATGTTTATATTTTCATTTTCCATACACCATAAAATGTTGGAATTATTTTGACTCGTTTTGAGCTGTTTACGGACAATTGAAAATTTAATTTTTTTTCCCTATAAGTATCAATAAAATTGTATACGTAGGGTCAAAAGCGTTACAGATTAATACATAGCTCCTGATGTATTCTTACAATAGCAGATGAAAAATATTAAAAATACAAAAGAGAGTATTTTATTTATAATCAATTAATAATGTATAATATTTTCAACTTTTATAGCTAAGGATTATTAATGTAAAACAAAGTTCCACTTATAAATAGGTTAAATATAAATTACTTTATTCAAATTAATATCATCAAATATACTTAGTAATATCTTAGCTAACCGTCTTCGCTCAGATTCATTTTCCTTATAAAAATAAAATTATATTTTATCATTGAGTTTAAATTTAATACAATTCATTACAGTGACCCACTATTGTAACCTACTGTACAATTACAAAAATTAAAATTGCACCCATACTTTTTTAGATTCTGAGTGGAACGACGAATGTATTGATTTTACAAGGGTGGGTAATCCTGGCACCCCAATGTTCGAATTTTTTATTTTTTTTTAATCATTAATTGTACTATAATTTATACCAATTTGTACCAACAATTTAAGAATTTGTACCTAAATATTTCCAAAAGAAAAGTCAAATTTTTCGCTGGGGTGGCAGGGTAACGTTACCCCAGCACCACCATAACTGAATAATGCATTTTATAAACATTTTTATTTTTATTAATTGTACTATAATTTGTACCGATTAGTACCACCATTTTCAGAATTTGTACCTAAATACTTTCCCTAGGAAAAATCAATTTTCCAGATGGGGTGCCAGGGTAACCCCAGCACCACCATAACTGAATAATGCATTTTATTAAAAAATTTTTTTTTCCATTAATTGTACAATAATTTGTACCATATTGTAAAACCATTTTTAGAATTTTTACCCAATTATTTCCCTCGGAAAAATCTATTTTTCCGCGGGTATGTCTAAATACGTCACTTCGGATAAAGTACACCTAGGTACTTTTAAACCAATACAATAAACTTATGGTGTGTCTATAAAAGCTAGGTATCCTAACTAAATTCCATAAAGTCCTAAACATATATATATACTATTTACCTTCACACTATGGTAGGTACATTTAGAGGGACACTTGCTTTAATGTTAATATGGCATTGTTATAGGTAGGTATGTGAAAAGTTAAAACATATTATATTCTAAATATTTCTAATAAAAATACACTGTGTTGGTTAGTGTCTCTCCATCAATTTATCAATATTATATACCTACTATATTGGTGTACCTATGTTGGCAGCTATAATTATTGAACTAAATTTAATAATTAACTTCCGTAATCATATATTGATATATGTATATAATACACATATATAATATTATATATTACAAAAGTAGGTATTTAGTATTCTAGAATAAAAATACGAATAAAAAGTACTTTTAAGTATTTAAAGTTACATTGGTCAAAAAGTATTTAAATACAAGTATTTGAATGAATACTGAACAGAACTGGACAGTATAGGTACACAAAGCACTATATCCATACACACATGCATATACATTATACATAAGTCATAACACAGTAACGCGCAATAAATATGCCGTTATAATATTACTAATAATTTAAATAATAATAATATAATAAGTGGTAGTATATATATATACCTATATTAAGTCATAATATAATAATAATAATTTATTTATAATATGCATATACATTTACCTACAATCTACACGTCATTGCATCTTTTTGTTGTTAAATAGGTAATTTGAAAAATTATAAATCAAAACTACATTATACCTACTGTGTGCTGTCGTATATTGTAGACAGTCGTCACTATAATGTACACATAATATAGGTGTGAACATTTTTATTATAAATTGTTGACATAGGTCGGGCCAATGAAGCAAGATGTGCTGAGGCAGCAATAATTATATTACTATACCGGAACCGGGGTGAGCAAAAGTCACGCAACCGATTTGTAAAAAATGACGCAAAATATAAAAGGTTAACTTTATTATATAAACAAAAACAAATATATAGAGTTTAATTTATACTATATTTTTAATTTATACATGTTGTATGTTCAATATGACAACTGTCTTCATCAATACTACTGTCTATATCAATATAATATGGTTCCATTCTTTGGGATCCTTATACAACCTCTGACTCTTCCCTACTTGAGCGTGTTCAGCGTAAATTCCTTAATTTTGCATCCTTTTGTCTTAATATCCATCATGAACCTCACGATTATTCCCCAGTCTTACACCACTTACAACTTAGTAGTCTTTCCGATAGAAGAGTTTTTGCCAACATTATCTTCCTAAATAAACTTACGAATGGTACCATAAATGCTCCCGAGCTTCTCGCTGAGGTAAACTTTCGTGTTCCAAGTAGGTCTTCCAGGCTAACGGCCCCCTACTACGTTCCTCGACACACCACTAACTATGGCCGAAACCACCCTATCCACCGAATGATGCGTTTAGCAAATGAGAACCTCTCGAGTCTTTAATCTTTAGTCTTTGTTTTATATCAATATTATTATAATGTTTTGTCTGTATCTTATTCCATTAACTGTACTTTGGGCTAGTCCCGTAATGTAAAATAAATAAATAAATAAATAAATAAATACACGCTAAACTTTCGGACCGTTTGGCAGATGCGTTCTAGAAGAGCTTTGTCATCACTGATCACATCAAGTTCTGAAGCTGATCCAGAATTTTTTCGTACTGTGCTTTGGAGCGACGAAGCTATTTTTAAATTAAACGGGCTTATAAACCGACATAATTGCGTTTACTGGGCGTTTGAGAACCCGAATTTAGTTCTACATCAGGAACTAAATGTTTCGGGAATCGTGGTTTGGGCTGGAATTTGCACCCACACGATCGTTGGGCCGTATTTTTTTGAAAACGAAAAAGTAAATGGTACGACGTACTTAGACATGCTGCAAAATCTTAAAATTGAACTCGCAGAAAGTACAGTGTTTGCCGGTCATCAAATGACATTGCAACAGGATGGCGCACCTGCGCATTTCTCAGTCCAAGTACGAACGTTTCTCAATGAAAACTTTCCGGGATGGATAGCACGCCGCTGAATAGTTGACTGGCCAACCACGGTCGCTGGACCTTACACCCTGTGATTTTGCCTTATGTGGCATAGTGAAGGACAGAGTATTTGCCCGTCGGCCACGTTCCATCGAAATTTTGAAAGCAGTCATCACGGAAGAACTTGATGTGATCAGTGACGACAAAGCTCTTCTAGAACGCATCTGCCAAACGGTCCGAAAGCGTTGTTTAGCGTGTATTGATGAAGACAGTTGTCATATTGAACATACGACATGTATAAATTAAAAATATAGTATAAAATATAAATTAAGCTCTATATATTTGTTTTTGTTTATATAATAAAGTTAAACAACCTTTTATATTTTGCGTCATTTTTTACAAATCGGTTGCGTGACTTTTGCTCACCCCGGTATAACTCCGCATTACGCGCAGGCACGTTGTCGCAGGTGTTACGGAGAGGACGCAGGTACGACGATTGTACGAGTAATTCAGCAGTCGTGGTATAGACTAAGTATTTGAAATAATTAAATTATTTATGTTTGTTTTATATTTTAATAAAAGTGTTTCCGACCCGAAAATTATATGTTTTGTTCGAGTAGCCACGCAATTCTACGTACGCTTTAAATCCGATTTGTAACCGGTTAATTTATGGTCATTGACGATTTAAAGTACAAACGGTGAAGGTAGTCCTACGTTAATTTTATTCTTTCAATCTGATTTGTAACCGGTTAATTTATGGTCTTTTGGTTGCTCAAGTGTCGATAGAGGTATATCACTGGAAAGTGCATATACGACAGTGCATTGCATATTTATTATATACAATTTCTAATTTCTATAGTTAAGGTATTGGTCAATAATCTATATGAATGCAAAAAGTGCAATATTGCAATATGATTGCATTGGCCTCTCTACTGAACAAAACACTAATATATAAAACTCAAAAAGAGTAAAAGTATCTTCATCAAGTATTATGTAAGCTAGGTAGGTCATAGGCGGTATAGTGTTTCTAAGAAATTATATAATTCTTACACGCTAAATGCTAATTATAATTTAATATTTATACAAATATATTATATTATAATATATAGTTTATGCTTTTAAAACAATATAGTAAAGGTACCTACTCATGGTGTATAACCTATTCTAACTAACTTCCATAATATAGGTACTCTTAAGTCTTAATGCATACTATAGTGTATGTACCTATATACAAACAGACACTTGGGTTAAAATT